GTGTTATGTGCTTGCTACGGTCTTAATCTCACTTTTGTGATATGGCTAAATTTTTATGGTAAATATGTTTCCTTTTTTAGAATTATATAACGAATATATGTATTATTTTCTGGTTCTACCAAAAGATGAAAAGTTTTGGTGATCCATTTGGACGATTTACCTGTGAAATCTTTGAACAATACTCGTTTGGACAGTCGGATTAGAAGTGTCAAAGCAATTAGAGTTCAAGCTCCTAAGCTAAGATCAACTTTGCCTGAGTTAAGTGAAGATAGTGGTACCGTACCCAAGGATAGGGGTGATGAAGTGATTGGCAGCTATGAGTTTATACTTGGTATGGTCATTTGCCATGGCATTCTATTTGTTGTTGATACGGTGAGCATGAAGTTGCAATCACCATCCATGTGTGTTGAGTCCCCATGATACAAATAGAAGGTATGAGGAATTACTTTGACACTTACAGAAATGAAAGGTTTGATTCTAGTGTGATCATTGCTAAAGAAATCACAACTAAAATAGATGTTGAGCCATCATTTCCAGTAAAGCCTCGTACTCCCAAGAAGAAGCAATTTGATGAAATTGATTATCTTAGAACCAAGATTGAGAAGGATTTTGAAGTTAATTAGTTTTTGTTTATGGTTGATAAGGCAACTTATGGTATGGAGATTTTTTAGTTTGACAGAGAAGTAGCTTGTTATCCTAATATTTCTACTGCATATCGGATTTTATATTTACTATGCCTGTTACTGTGGCATCAGCTGAAAGAAAAAATTTATAAAGTTGAAATTGTTGAAGAACTACCTGAGATCTGAATTTTAGAAGAAAATTTTAACGTAATATTCTCTAAGAATTATAATCAACCCTAAGAATGAACTGAACTAATGATTATACTTTGGTATCTGCTCATTTCTAGGTCACAACAGGTGAATCAAAAAAATTCTAAGTAACAACGGTATTGATCATGTAGGACAAGAATTAAAGAAAATATCTACCTCTCACAGTCGAATGTCGACAAGGCAGAGTTTGTAGAAGACTTCAGATTGCAACTGAAACTCTGCTCGTTGCAGTCACACTACTGTCGCTTTGTGAAACAACAGATGGGTAAAGGCTTTATATGATGATCAGATACTCAGCACCAACAAATTCTAGAATTCTTGACTCTGTATTCTCAACCCATACAATCTCCTCCCCTGTTCTTCAACATCCAACCCGTTAGTTTTTACCGGCATACAATCATATCTCCAAATGATCACAAACAATCATAGCTTACACATCAAGAAGAATCATGCCCCTAGTAATCTTAAAGCGGTACAGTAAATTTACAAAGAACTGCTTCTAGTCCAAAATGCTCCACCAATCGAACAGGAACCAGGAAGGCTCAGAAGAAATGATATGTGGCAACTGCATGCAGCAGGAGGGGCGCGCCATGGCATTGTTGATGGTGATGGTGATGGTGATGTGTGTGCTGTGCTGGATGCAGAGCACAACCTTGACGTAGCTGGTGACCAAGGGATCAACACTGTATGCGCGAGCTTGGGAACTTCTTCGAACACCACAAACCAGAGTTTACCTCTGCATTTGGTCTGCAGTATCAATATCATAGATTACCAATGTGAATACCCACCTGAACCCTTCATGCCATATCCCAAATGACAAAAGTAGCCATGCTAGACCAATATATAGATAGATTGATAGCCGTTGGAGACAAATCATCACATTTAGGAAGATCTCCAATCGTCAAACTTGTCCGTGAAAAGGCTATCATCAGGGTGAAAACAGTAACGGGAGTACAACTGCTGCAAATGCTGCAAAGGGGGGAGAATCAGCGTCTTGATCCTTGAACACTTCGCTCGCAGGGTTCCATCCACAATGATGTTGCAACAGTCGCGCACGCAGAGGCGCTCCATGTGAGGGCAGCCATCGATGATGGCAACCAGCTCCTCTGTCGTGATATTGCAACCGACGAGAGTAAGGTATCGCAGCTCGTGCATCATCTCGATTCCAAGTGCCCCATCTCTTGTACCCCCATACGACCCTTGCCGCAACATGAGACGCTTCAGCTGCGCACATGCTCTGCTGGTGACCTCATATGCGTCGCCATCAACAAATGGACATAGGGAAATGAGAAGTTCTTCGAGCAGAGGAAGCTTGATTATCAGCTCAGTGAATGCTTCGTTGGAGACATTGCAGTAGTCAAGGCTGAGGCTCTTAAGGGAGGGTGATCTGCGAAAAAAAGAGAAGGAGATCATAACACTGTTGTAGCATTAGGGCATAACGAGATTCAACTTGTTCTTTTTTGGCAACTAGTGTAACGCCCGAGCGTTGCTACAGAATAAAAAATAATAATTTAGTTTTATTGGGTTAGTAGTAGATAACAACCAATGCCCGTGGAATGCTGCGAAAAAGAAACTCAACCAAGCAGCCAACATTGCACTTGTGAAAACTGCAGTGGTGGGGGGCACTATTTCAAGATATGGTTTTTCCCCTTCCAATTGGAGAGGTCTGATGGGTTCTAGATGGATGAGGGAGATTGGGATGGAGTGGGGGAGTGAACTCACCACCACTGCCACTAACTCCAATTTATAAGATAGTAGAGATGATCTACCTACAGGCTACAACTCTTGGCTTTATAATTTCCTGTATAAAACTAGGCATGGAGAGCAAATAATGTGATTACAACAGCTAAACATCAAGTACTCATGTATGTGTTTTGACCTCATCTATACAAACCACTAGTTTGACTACATTCACTCAGAAATCCCTGCACGAATCTCATCTATGTGAACTAGTTTCACTACACCCATTAACGAATCAGTGAGCAGTACCCAATAAATTAAGAGGCCACCCAATTTTAGCTTGAAAGAAGAACAAAACAACTAGTTTGTGTGGTCTGATTTGGAACTTAGACACAAATATTCTACTAAAACAAGAGTACCTTTCTGCAATATAGTTGAGAAGCTGATCAGTAACAAACCCGCTCCCTGCGAACACCTCGAGCTCCCCATTGGAGCGGTCCACGGCGGCTTTTGCCATTGCACACAAGACATCGTGGCTCTTTTTCTTCTTCCCTCGCAAGACATCATGGTGCTCCATGTCGACATATCGCCATAAACTAGGTACTTTTGCCGCCTCGAGCCATGAGTGGCACACAAGGCCTGCACCCATGAGAATATCAACTGCGCCGAGTTTGGTAAAGACTGAAGCAAGCACATCAAGAGGCAGCTCGGACCAGTCCCTGACGGCTTCTGGCTGCACCTCCATTTCATGGGAATGACTGCAGAGAAAGGGTGGCATCACTGATAACAAACTACTCGGACTGATTGATCAAAGAACACAAGTTGGCAATCATAGGGTACCTTAGGCGGCGGCGACAGACATCCCGCGAGACAACAAACGAGACGCCGCTCATCATTATTGGGGACTGAGGGGAAGCTTGAAGCATCCTTCTGAAACGCTAGCTCGTGAAAGAGCTCTTTTATTACAAAAAATCAGCAGTGGAATCTAACTCCCCGGAATAACCTGTTTCGCGAAAAAAGAAATGGCACGCAACCTGTGTGAGCTGCACAGCAAGAATTTCTTATCAGTTACACTAAAATGAGTGGGCTGATTGCATGACGCATTGAAATTTCAGATCTTTACAAGAAACTGGAGCTACAGAACTGGAGAAATTGGTAACAAAATACGGAGAATTCATCAAAACGATGCTCACAGTCACAGGAAGGCAACCTAAATTATCGATTTTTATCCTTTCCGCATGTAAGAAGGGGGAAAGTCGTAATCTTTTTGCGGGTAAGAAGGTGAGGTTACCTACTCAAATCAAACGACGGCAAGGGGAGCTCTTTGATCTCATCTGCGGTCCGCTCCCCGAACGCCCTCCGCCACCCGCCGCGACAGACACGTGAGGACGCGCTCACGGCCACGGCGAGCCGGCGTACCTCCACCAGCGAGCGAACCTTGTGCCTTGGAATGCCTTCCCTACCCTAGCGAGGTCAGATCCGGCGGCGGCGCACCCACGCCTGGCCTGGCGCCGCCCGGAGGCTGGCCGTGACCTCGGCAGGGGACGTGAAGTCACGCTCGGAGCAGGAGGACGGCGGTAGGACCGTCGCCGGGACACCGCCAAAGGCGCCGCTCCTCGTCGTCGTCGCTGCCCCTGACTGGCGAGAGAGAGGTGGGTGCGGAGGCCGAACCACTCGGGAACAGTTGAAATACCCCCGTTTGTATCCTGTCGCCGTTTCCTTCTCCTTTTGAGATTTTTTTAGGGAATCCTTTTTTTAGACAAATTTTAGGGAATCCTTTTGGGATAAGGAACGGAAACTAATAATTGTTGGGCCATTAACACACTAATACCAACCACAGGCCCGTAAAGCCCAATTTGCCCAATGTGCCTTCTTTCATCGGGTTTTTCTTTTCGGCCGGAAACATCGCTCCAAGTTTATTCATTTGCAAAGTTCGCAGGGATCATTAGACGATCATGAAAGTACCCAGTCGAATATAGCGGCCTACTGCAAGAAGTAAACAAAACTTCGCTATACTATGAGCTACGCGCACCCTGCACGGCTGCACCGGGCGCTAAATCTTTTTTGACTACTACCTCCGTCTCGGTGAATAAGTCATTCGCATAGTTTAGATCGATGATTTAACTAACTAGATATGTACTATATGTGACAAAAAATATATATTTAGAAACTACATTCATGTAGAAATCTAGTGATATACTTTTCATGACATATAATACATATTTAATTCCTCAACTCGATGATCTAGAACTACGTGAATGACTTATTCACCTAGACGGAGGTAGTAGCTTTTTACTTTTTTTCTTCCTTTTGGTTTTTTATTCCTTTTCTTTTTACATGTACCTTATTTTCATTCCATGAATAATTTCAAACTTTGTGACTTTTTAAATTTGTAGACATTTTGTATACTTTGCTACAAAACTAAAAGGACCATCATGATTTTTTTTGAATTCATCAACATTTTCTAAATTATTTAACGTTTATTAAAGTAAGCGAAAGAAATATTAAATTTTGTGAATCTTTTAGAATTTCGTGAACATTCTTAAAACTCATGATTTTTTAGAAAAAATGGAATTTTATTTCTTACTATTCATTTACATATATGCACACAGTGTGAACATTTATCACTTTAGTAGAAAATTACATTTTTTAAGTTTAAAAACGAAACTAAAAATTGTTTAGTACTACATGTGAAATGAAAAAGGGGGCAAACCAGCAATTTGTGCCCCGCCCAAGTGTGTCCATGTGACCGCTTACGCTTTTATTCAACGCCCAACATGCAGAATAGGGGATCTCTCCACCGATTTTATCATGTTGCATATGTGTCGTGAGTGCACCCCCACTAGTTTGTCGCAGCGGATGGTCGAGGGGCGTTCAAGAAGGGACGGGTATGCACCACGGCTCGACTCGGACGTCATGTTACCTTTTTTGTTTCATTTTATTCTTCTATTTTCTATTCACATCTTTGTTTTTATTTTTTATTTATATTTCACTTTGTTTCTACTCAAAAATATTATAAATATAAATATTACAAATAGATACATATATTAATATTGCATTTGGAAAATGTTAACCGTGTAAAGAAAAATGTGTTTCATGTATACGAAAAATGTACAATGTGAATAAAAAAAGATAGAAAATTCTAATCATATGTATGGAAGAAAAATAATTGTGTGAAGAAAAAAAAGTATACATTAAAAAAATCATGTAAGTAAAAAAAGTCTATGTTACATTAAAAAAAGTTCACAAGTTTCAAAAAATGTGTTCATGATATTTTCATAAAACTCAGTGCACAATATAAAGAAAAGTTTGCATAGTTCAAAGAAACATTATCACTAAAAGAATGTTTGAATGTGTATTGAAAGAATGTTTAGCATGTATTTGAAAAAATGTTCAGAGCATAATTTGTAAAAATGTTTAAAATGTATTTTAGAATTGTGAAACATTTATAAAATAATGTATATGTATACGAAAAACGTACAACATGTATGAAAAAAAGTAGACATCAAACAATATATTATAAAATTATTAATCATATATCTAAAACATGTTTAAAACTGTTCCTGATATATACTAAAAAATGCATAATATGTATGGAAAATGTAGACATGTGTTCAAAAGGAGGAACATTAACAAGAATACTAATAAAAACGACAAAGAAAGAAAGAAAAGCAAAAAAACAAAGAGAACAAAAGAAAAGTAGAAAGAAACAAAAGAAAAACAAGGTATAACAAAGAAAGAAAGGAAAATCAAAAAACCAATGAGAAAACAAAGAGTCCAAAGCAAAATGATTTTTTTTAAAACGGTGACAAAATAAAAAAGGGAATAGGGAAAAGTAGTAAACCGAACCTGCCACGACCGCTACGAGCCGAGTGAGCCTATGCGCGCAGAAATGGGCAGTCTACTCCTGTTACCTGCAGGCAATTCCTATTATGAATCAGTACGGGCGACATATAGCCTTAGCGGTTCAGGAAGAGGACCGCAGATGAGATCATGAGAAAGTCCTCCTGTTTTTTTGTTTTTTTTTTCGGGGAAGAAAGTCCTCCTGTTGTGCTGCCGCATAATGTGACTGGATATTCAACGGCTCCGTTAGGGCATGTACAATAATGGCATATGGATATAGATGCCCCATGATAAAAAGTAATTTGAAGCATCTATGTTGATTTGTTTTCCCCAATGCAAGCTATTATTAGTTTGCCTCATCAAAAAATAGAAAGTGATTTTCACTACACATGCATTTCTACTCTTTACCTCAATTTTCCCAACTTTATGCATCGGACCATACTTTTTCTCTCCAAGCGCCCGCCTCCTGCAGAGGATCCCGCTTCCCTATCCGAACCTACCTTTTCTGTCGTCCGATCCTACATGGCATATGAGACATCACCCTGGGGCTATGCATTGGCCATGCCCTTATGTTGCCCATTGATGTGTCCTTTGTAGGGTTAGAATTATTGTTTCTACCGGGTTTTGTAGTGATTTGTGAATTATTCCATTTTTGTCATTTTTTGATTTGTTTTCAATAAGACAGCTAAATACATTATTTAAAAAATGATTTTTAAATGAAAAAATGTGGACGTTTTGGAAAACTAGGTAATTTTCCAAATTTCATGATTACTTTATCAAATTTCATGAATGTTTTCTTTTTTGTGAACAATTTGTATGCAATCCTGGAAAACTTTTGAAGAAAGAAAAACCCAAAAAGAATAACAAATGAAACCCTGAAGAAAACCAAGAAAAACTGCAGAAAACCTGAAAACAAAAGAAGTGAAAAAAGGGGAAAACAATTGTTTCGACAGGGAGTGTGCTAGTGGCAATGTTTTCAAAGGTTACGACCAATAATCAAATTTTGGAAGTGCAATTTGAATTGTACTCAAACATAGAAAAAATATTCCTCTATTTAGGAGAAATATGTATTCATTTAAAATATGTTCACTAATTCAAATGATGCGACAAACATGCTTCTATTGTTCTTTCTTTTTTACCAAGAACAAGAAGAAAAAAATTGTATACATAGGGATGAGTAGAAAAAATCATGAGGACATTATTAAAAGAACACAATGTTTTTATAAGAGATCAGTTGGGATTCTCCGTCATATATATTATAAAGGAATCAATTTGTGGGGGCTTGAAGATTATCTATTTTTTGAAACCCACCACCACCAGTACAATGCCATGGCTACCCATTAAACTTCAAATAGAACCACCCAAACAAACATTTTTTTCAAAATGAAGAATAATATTTCTGCCCTCTGCGCATTGCAATGTACACAACCACTTTTATTAATTATTAATCAAAGTATAGAACGAAGACAAATACGGTCAAACCATTACATGATATGAAATTCACACATATGACTAAATTGATTTCTTTCGTAGCAACACCTTCAAGAAAGGATAACACCATTGCATCACTGTCACCATGTCAGGCAGAAACGACCTGGACAAGGATTTTTATCTTGCAAGACCAACTGATGAAGTCTAGTACAACAACAAAGTAGACAACCTTTTAGAAAAGTAATGACGCAAGTTTGTCGCTATTGAGCCCGACCAATAAAGATGACGACAAGAGGCGCATCCTGAACATGAAATGGTGTTTCAATCAATATCTACATGATAAATCGTTCGATAGTCGCCTCCGCCAGTACTCCATGTTAGGGCCAAAAGGCACTAGCAAATTGGTGGAGAGTCTTCACACCTTACACCGCTCACAGGCGTCAGCTGTGTGTCTATGTCTCGACACGGATCTGGCTGCTGCCAATCCACACTAACACAAGTCATACTGCATCATCCACAATAACGTTGGGGTCACTGCCTCGGTGTTAGATGCCAGCAGGGAGCCGCCAGTCCACCCCTTGCGCATTAGCGTCTGACTTTGTTGTCAGCGCCTTGAGCCTCCTCATGCGATGGTCGCTGCCCTCACACAAGA